CCCCCCACCTCCCCACCCCCGCCAAGGTTGCCAGGCTGAAGAGCAGAAAGCAGCTGCCAGAGCTTCAGATGACAATGACCTGGCCACTGAATGAGGAGGAGGAGGGAACAGTGATTAAGGACGTGTAGGCAGAACCCTGTCGCCTTTTAATACAGATGGTGTCCAGAGACTTTCATTTCATAGCTCGCTTTCCCCAGGGATGAGGCGCTTGAGCAAGCAGACGCGTGCCGCCGGATCTTGGAGCTGCGCGTGGCACCGCCTGATGCTTACCAAGTGGTTGTATCCCCAGCCACACCAGCCTCCAAGGCGGCTGAGCGCAGGGCCTTGTTCTGCCCATTTAGCAAAGGAGGAGACTGAGGCCTACAAAGAGGAAGGCTTTTCTCGTGTCTTCTGTTCCTACGCGGTGCCTGTTCCACGGCCTCTACACCAAGAGAGCCTGTGCAAGGCTGGGAACAAATGACCCTTGGGCCTCAGGCAGGAGTGGAGCTTTGTCTGGTGCTGTAGAACTGAGGCTTCCGGAACCTTCCAGACTCAGGCCCGTCCTGCTCCAGTCTCTCAGTTCCTAGCTTCTTGCTGCATAGTGTTTTGGGGTTCCCCGGCCTGAGTTCATATAGGTGAAAGGTCTGTGAAATACCTGATGTCTGCTTGGACTGACAGCCCCTCCCCCAGCCAGCCTTTCATGATAAAGCCTACTCGTCCCTGCTATGTGCTGCATGAGAAAAACACTCCTTAGTTATTTTGTTCTGTCCTGTTTGAGTGAGTAGATTTATTTATTCTAAGTGAGGACTAACCTGACATGGCACAGTTATGAAAGCGATGTAAGCTTCTGGTTTCTTGTGTATTAGCCTAAAGTGATTCTGAGTTGTGTGTGTGTGTGTGTGTGTGTGTGTGTGTGTGTGTGTGTGTGTGTGTGTCCTCTTTTGCACTGTCAGAGGTTGTTTCATACCAGTAAAGAAATTGTCTCATCCTTTCTTATCTTAGCACATTATTTCTTTGCAAGGATATACTGTAATAGGTTCGGTGAGGTTTTCAAAGGCATATTCTAGGAAGTTTCAGTCCTCAGCCAGAAAGAGGATGTGATCCCTTTAAGGGGTGGAGACAAAGAAGAAAAGAAGAAGGAACTGTTGGAAGTTAGTGTTAGAAACCGGTGTGCGTCTGATGTTGCTAAGGAAGTTGTGTCCCTTACCTCATCTCTAAATACCTCTAAATACCATAACGGGATTATCTGTGGAACGGAAACCTCCACAGAGAAGATTGCTCAGTTTCCTCCCTTAAGAAGAAGCTGCCTCGGGCATCTCGCCACCGATGCACACGTTCTGTCCAGCCAGTTGCTTGGCAACCAGTGGGTGATGGAAGTTTCCTTCTTCTCTGGGAAAAACCGAGAGAGAGATGGTCAATGGCCAAAGCCTGTGGTCATTTTAGGGAAGGCTGTGGGAGAAAGGGCTTGAGCCCTGGCCAAGAGGCAACCAGAGAAGCAGAACTGCCTGGCGAGGCTGCCCAGTGCCTGGAGCTGTGATCCATAGCAGAACAACCAAGGGGACCAGGCTGTTCAGAGCTGAAAACCAGAGTTTATAGCGCCGCGGTCAATACAAGGTTAAAGATGAGGAAAGATTTAGAATCATAACTTGGCAGTTCTTCTTTTGTTTAAAAACAATAAATCTTTGAGAGAGGATTTCTTTGTATGGCTGAAGGAAGCTTGAATTTGTCACCTACTCCAAGATGATTTAGAGCTCATGATCTTCCTGCCTCTGCCTCCTAAATGCTGGAGTTTCAAGTTTTTTAAATGATGGGCCTGTGAGATGGCTTAGCGTCGTTTGCCAACAAGATGACCACCTGAGTTTCGGTGGGAGAGAACTGCCTCCTGAAGGTGTTCTCTCTGAGGTATGCTTGTGACCCTCCCCCCCCCACACACACACACACTCACTCACAGGCAGATGGAATTTTTGTTTTGCTTGGTTTTAGCTTTTGTTTCTCAAGACAGGGTTTCTCTGCACAGCCCTGGCTGTCCTTGAACTCTCTATGTAGACCAGGCTGGCCTCCAGCTCAGAGAGTCACCTGCCTCTGCCTGCTGAGTGCTGGAATTAAAGGTGTGTGCCATCAGGCCTGGTGACAAATGTGATTTTAAATTTAAAAAAATAAGTGTGAACCAGGCACAGTGGCAGGAAGAGAGCCCCAGTCTTTGAGTTCAAAGCCAGTGAGGGCCAAAGAGGAAGTAAGAATGGAAATCAGTGGGTAGGAACACAGCTCAGTTGGCAGAGGGCTGGCCTCGCATACTTGAGGCCCTGGGCTCAATCCCCGGCACCACGGAAGCTGGGTGTGGTGGTAGGAGTGCCTGTGTGCCACACAGGAAGGCCTGGGTTTGATCCCCAGTACTGCATAAAAGCCGGCGTGCTGACATTGCTGTAAAAGGAGAGGAGAGCCAGGACGATCAGAAGTTCAAGGTCATTCTTGCTTACTTATTGAATATGAGGCTTCCTTGAGATACAGAGACCATGTCTTTAAAAAAAAAAAAAAAAAAAAAAAAAAAAAGAATCATTGAAGTTGCTAGCAGTTTCCCCTCTAAGCCTGCTTTCCTAACTCTAAGAGCGTAACGTCTCCCTTCTCGCCATCTTTCTTACATACCGGCCACATTCAGTGGACTGTGACCCCCATGGAGAGCCGTGCCCATTCTCGGGTGTGTGCGTCTTCCTTTCGGTGACTTTCTCTTTGAGAAGCCCACGCTCCTGAGGGTGCCTGGATTTCTTCTGGGCATCTCCTTTTCCACTTAACCTTCGTGTTTAAGCCTAACTTAAAACATCTTCAATGAACTCCAACTCTGTAAAAACAAAACAACAACAACAACTTGTTCTCGGCCATGTGAGGGCCAGAGGTGAAGGAGCCAGTAGGAACGGAGAAGGGAAAAGGCAGGGTGTGGTCAGGGTCGGGAGGGAGATGTTTGGTAAAGGAAAGGGTGATTGTGTAAGTCTTATTTAAACAAGTGACATTTAGTCAGAGACCTAAGGGACAAGAACGGTTACTCAGTAGAAGAGCCCCCAAGGGCTGGGAGTCTACTGTGGTAGACTGCTTACTGACAGGTACAGTCTTGGGTTCAAGTCCAAGTATTGGGAAAAAAAATCCACATGTAGGCTGATTGGAGCAAGGGTTCATTCATCCCACAGGGGTTCTCAATGGGAAGCAGCCTGCTGAGCTCCGGGAATGGAAGGAGGCCACCAAGCCAAGTGTGAGCTTTCATTCCAGGTGCAAGTGGGAGCGGAAGAGTTAAGTAGATAAGACTTATGTCTCAGAATGATCCAATTCATTATCTTCCCCATTCATTCACAGTGCATTTCCCATTCTCACAGTGACGAATGAGTGAGAGAGGACGGAAGTGGAGCCAAGAACAGTCAGGAGATCATTCCAAGAGAGAAACTATGAATGAAAGCAAGGTTTGGGAAGAATATAGTTGAGCCAGATTTTAGAGTTGAGTTCCTTGGGAATTAGCGGTAGGCTGTTGTGAGGAATATCCAAGAGAGGGAAGGATGCGGGTTCATCCCTCGGGTACGTGCACAAAGATGCTGGTGATACAGAGGGGAGGTCAGCAAAGGAGTAATCCGGAGGGACCAAGAGTGAGATTCGGCTAGATCGTATCTGTGAGTCATCCAAGTGGAAGTGTGTGGTGATCGTGTCTGGAACAGAGAGCAGAGAACTGAACTGAGGAAATCCATCTGGGAGCCAGGGAAAGACAAAGCTGCCTGAAGGACAGAGTGTAGAAGGAAAAGGAGAGAGCACCTGGATGGCGGATGCAGAGCTACAGGCCCAAGATGGAGATGGGAGGGACACTAAGAGACTAGTGTCATGGAACTCAGGGAGGGAGGAGGCTTTGGGGAGAAGGGGCATTGACTGTAGTAATGTTCCTGAGAAGTCAACTAAGGCCCAGATCAAAACAAAACAGTCAGAAAATAACAGACAGAGATGGTTAAGGAGTCCAGTTTGGGGACTGGAGAGATGACTCAGTGGATAAAGGCATTTATTGCCTTTGCAGAGGGCCAGAGTTCAGTTCCTAACACTCACATGGTGGCTCACAACCATTCATAACTCCAATTCCAGGGGGCCTGACACCCTCTTCCAACCTCCTAGGGAGCCATATGCAGGCAAAACATTCATATGCATAAAATAAAATTTAAAAGTCTAAAAAATAAAGAGTTCAGTTTGGGGGCACCATTGAAAGCTGGTAAGCTGACGTCACGGGTGCTGGACCACCATGCTTCATGGTGATCTCAGAAAGAACGTGAGAGAGTGTTGAGGTGGCTGAGGTCTGTGTGGCCGATGGGCAGGACATGCTGCCACGTGCTTTGTTTCTTCTTCGTGATTGGCATCTGCAAATATCTTACTGCCTGAGCCTGACCAGAGCATGCAGGACTCTGAGGGTCCCCGAAGCATCCTTTTCAGGGTTCTGCTGACTCATCACTGCTCCTCTCTTGTCTCCCACAGGACACTTCACAGCCATGGTATGGAAGAATACAAAGAAGATAGGCGTAGGGAAGGCGTCTGCAAGTGATGGGTCCTCCTTTGTGGTGGCCAGGTACTTCCCAGCAGGGAATGTGGTCAACCAGGGCTTCTTCGAAGAAAATGTCCCACCTCCAAAGAAGTAACTCTCAAACGTAACGAGAAGGCGGAGACACATACAAAGTGCCTATAGAACAACAAAGAGCCAGCCGAGCGTCTGTCCCCGTGGGTCTGTGTACTCTGGAGCATCTCTTGTGCACACACTCTAGGCAGCTGCGCATGAGCTCATTTCCGGTTAAAGGACGGGCATCTGAAGCATTTGTCCAGAGGGTTACCTAGACCACCATTACTTAGATTTGAGTATGATCAATTATGACATCTTTTGGCTGTTATTTTTTTAAGCAGACTTCTTTTGTATCTTTCTTACTTCTAATATCCATCCTCGGACTTTGTGTGTTCTGAATATTTGCCATGCTGAGCAGTGAGGTCATGTTACATGATCATCCTGCACTGTAATCTCCTTTTGGTGGATATTGAAGAGTATTAAACCTTCCTTTAAATGTGACATAAAACAACTTGCGTTAGAGACACGTGACCAGCTCCATTTCATGGAGTCAGTGAGATTTTTCGTTCTCAGTGGGAAGACATGATATCATCCCACGTCCTCTGGGATTCCCTAAAGGAATTGCCAAAGAGCAAATGGAGAAGGAAAGAGAAAAAAAAACACCTTACTTCCTTGCAGCTTTTACCCTTTAAAGAGCAAATACCACGGCCACTAGCACCGTTCACACCTCACACATTTTTTTAGTTTCAGTGCTTACAGCTCTAGCTCTGGCTCCTGGGGGTGGGGGTAGGGCTGGAATGCAGCCCTGCCCCCCACCCTCATCTCCCTGGACCCTCACACTGCTTGGGCTTTTGGCCAAGGCCTTGGACTATGAAGTCAGTGGTGTAGGGGGGAGGATGAGCTCACTTGGGGGCCCTGGAGGAAACCCCACAGCCTCTGTCCTTCCCCACCCCAGCAGGCAGTGACCACCCAGGCTCGTCCTGTCCCGGCAGCTGCCGCTGAGCAGTACTCCGTCCTGGAATGTGTGGCAAGCCCAAATGCTCCCCGGAGCATTCCCAAACCGGGAGCTCAAGAACGCTAATTCGATTCTGTGTTTTGCCTCAGACTATACAGAGTTCCCTCTGAACAGCTGTTTAACCAGGTCCACTCGGGAGGGACCAAGCCAGAGGTCCAGTTGAGTGTCCCTGGAATGATGGTATCTCCTTCTGCCAACCTAAGGGCTGGAGGAAGAGGTTGTTGACCTAAGGACGGAGGAGGCTGGTGGGTCTTCGTTACACTGTGAACAGTGTCACGCTGTGCCACTTGGTTCGTCCGGGGGTATCGCCTAACGAGACAATAAAATCCTTTCCTTTTGTGTAATCTCTTCCTCTAATGCTTTTGGTCCATGGCTGAGATCATTCAGGACTCTGGCCCATCTTGAACCACTCCACCTCCCCAGCCCCTCCCTAGAGGACTGTGCTGCCCAAATAGCCAACTGGAAGCCTGTGACCTACTAGCTCACAGATGAATGGACTACCTGATCTGAAGGCAGACAGGCCCTGATCTGAGGGCAGACAGAACCTAGGCAGGCCAGGGACAAGGAATTTGAGCCTAGACACATGGCGAGAATTTACTAGTAGAGCTGAAAACATAAGGGTGGTGGAAGTTTAAAATAGAGCCCCAGCAGACCTAAGCTATTTGGAGTCCAATTATTAATGGTAAAGACAGGTGAGCCTGGTCTGGAGGCACAAGCCTGGAATCCTAGCTACTCTGAAAACAGAAGCAGTGAGACCAGAAGTTCAAGGCCAGCCTGGACAATTTAGTGAGACTCTGTCTTAAAAAGAAAAGGCTTGCCCGCCTGAGGCTCTATCGCCAAGCCCCGGGGCCTCAGAGAAAGTTTCGAGAAGAGTAGATGCTGAGACCCCGACCTTCCTACTTGTAATTCTGTAAATCTTTGAAAATGCCCTCGATTAAGGGTTTGCAGTACGATATCAATCTATAAAGATTAGAATATTAGGGCCTCCTCCCCAGGAAATCCCCAAATATGGAACATTCTGAGCAGGGCGGAAGAGAGGGGGAGTGGAATGCAGAGATCTGAAAGGGACCCTTTTCTGGCCACACCAAGCAAACAGCCACTGATTTCCTGGTGACTCCTAGGAACGGCAACATACATATGACCAGGTGGCGGAAGATGGCCCAAAGCCAGTCAATAAGCTAGAGTCTGTTTCCACAGTAGGTTGGGACTAAGGACAAAGCTGCTTTCCAGGACTGGAGAAGAGCCAGGCAGTGACGCTGGCTGAACAGATGGACACGGGCACACCCATTTTCCTCTTTCTATTTGGACAGTCTCATGGAGTAGCCCTGACTGGCTTAGCTCTGTAGACGAGGCTGGCCTCAAACTGGTAATTCTACCCCAGCTCATTCCTTCTTTTAAAGAATGTTTTATTAACCAGTCATGGGGGTGTACACTGTTATGCCCAGATCGAGGGGACCCCCAGAAGACCACCACAAAGACTGAATCCTGTATGTAAAAGCAAAGAGCCTTTATTACCTTCAAGCTCTGGGGCTTGGTCTCTCTGTCTGTCTGACGTAGTGAGAGCAGAGAGCCCTGAGCCCAGGTGGGGTGGGTTTTTTTTTTTTTTTATCATAGCAGAGGTTGGGGTGAGGCGATTTCCAGAGTTCAGGACCCTGATTGGCTGACATTTGTCTAGGGTATAGGAAACGTTTAAAATATCAGGTATTTCCCCTCAGATGCAGGCCCTCCCTGGGTAGGGTCAGTTTATGGCTTTTCCAGGGTCCAGGTGTTGCCTGCCAGAAGCTGTGTCTGGGCCTCTAAGCCTGTCATGGCAGCTGTGTGGTCAAGCTGTTTTGGGGCCCCTCCACACACACCTTTAGTCCCAACAGAGGCAGACAAACACAAGCAATTGTCTGTGAGTTGCAAGCCAGCCTGGTCTACCTAGCAAGTACCAGGACAGCCCAGGCTTCCTACAGAGATCCTGTATCTTAGGGTTTTTTATTACTGTGCTAAAACACCATGATCAAAAGCAGCTTGGGGAGGGAAGGGTTTATTGCATCTTACACTTTCAGGTCACACTCCATCACTGAGGGAAGTCAGGGCAGGAACCTGGAGGCAGGAACCTGGAGGCAGGAACCTGGAAGCTGAGTCCATGGAGGAATGCTATTTACTGGCTTGCTCAGCCTGTTTTACCATCCAAGACCCCCTGCCCAAGGATGGCACCAACCACAGTGAGCTAGGTCCTCCCACATCAATCATTAATCAAGGCAATACCTCCCAGACTTGCATACAGGCCAATCTAGTGGAGATATTTTCTCAATTAAGATTCCCTCTTCACAGATGCATCCAGGTCGACCAAAACACCCTGTCTCAAAGCAAAACTCTGTGTGTGTGTGTGTGTGTGTGTGTGTGTGTGTGTGTGTGTGTGTGTAAGAACAATTTGTGGGGTTGCTTGTGTCCTTCTGTCTTTATGTGGGTTCCAGGAATTGAATTTGGGTGGTCAGGCTTGTCAGGCAAGCATTTTACCTGCAAAGCCACCTCAGTAGCTCCCCCTTACACATACTTCTTTTTCTTTTAATCTCAAGTATTCCAGGCTGGCCTAGAACTCAAGACTATAAAGCTAAGGGTGACCTTGAACTCCCAGCCCTTCTGTCTTCATCTCTCAAATGCTTGGGTTACACAGGCATGTGGCACCCTGCCTAGTTTATGTGGTTCTAGGGATCAAACCCAGGGCTTTGTGCGTGGCAGGCAAACGCTCTACCCACTGAGCGTAGACCCGGTCCAGTTTAGTGTTCCAGTTCTTTTTCCTTTTTAAAATTTTAACCTTGAGACAGCCTATTATGTTACCCAGACTGGCCTGAACTTACTATCCTTCTCAGTCTCCCGAGGGCTCAGACACGTGTGGACCACCACAGCCCACTTTTTGTTTTGTGTTACGGTCTCTCTATGTTACCCAGGCTGACCTAAACTCCTGAGCTCAAAGATCCTCCTGCCTCTGCCTCCCAACTAACGGGGATTCTGAGCTTTCCGTCTTGAGTTTGTTGAGGATGGCAAGCCCTACAATTAAGATCAGAGTGCATGGCCGCTGAACTTGTTGAGCAAGCCTCTGCTCTCCAGGCCTCAGATATCAGATCTGTCAGGTGCCCCTGGACGGCCATGATCTCTGGCTGGAGGCACGCAGTGAGTGTGCTCCTTCCTGTCCTGGTGCTGGGGGTCTGATGACCTTCTGCGTCTGGTAAATGTCCCAGCAAGTGGGGTCTGGCAGCCAGGATGCCGCAGGGAGTCAAGCATCCTTATCAGCATCATGATGCTTCCTCCAGGCAAGTGGCCACTGCTTCTCAGGTGATGAGAGCGGGAGAGGCATGTAGAGCTGAAAAACTCTCCCAGAGACAGAGACTGGACTGTGGGGAACTGAGCTGAGCCACACAGGGAGTTCTCTGGAACGGGGCTGGAACCTAAGTATTCCTCCAAATGGGGAGACAGAAGTTCTGAGCCTTTCTTTGGTATCACATCTAAAGAGACTATCTGTCCCGGAAATTAGGCATCAAGATGTGTAAATTCAATATTAAAGAGCAATTGTTGCTTTAAAAATAAACTTTAAATTACCAAGCCACCAAATAAAGAAAAGGGCCGGTTTTGAATGAAAAGATGAATGAGAATCAAAGCCAGCAAGAGAAGGGCTGGAGAGTGGTCGGGGTGAAGCTGAGAGTCTCCCTGGGGGGCACTCGGGAGGACCTAACCGAGCCGGGCCCTCCTGACCAGTACAAGGGCCCAAACGACAAGGCTCTTGGTTAGCGCTCACGCACCCCCTCTGGGCTCTGTCCACATCTGGAAAGTGAGAACAGATGTGGGTCTGCCAGACTGTGCGCCCTGGGTCCAGACGTGTGCGTTTCCGGGTCGCTCCCACACTAAGGAGTCCCCGGCGCGACAGAGCAGGCGGAAAGGGGCCCCAGCGGCGGGTTTCCTTTCGCTAAACGGTTGGGGCGGTTGAGGGGGCCGGGTGCTCCCAGCCGGGAGGTGACCTGCCGCCCCACCGTGCGGCCGCAGCAGGCTTCTGCAAGCCGCCGAGAGCGTCGGGGACGCCCACAGCCTGCCACCAGCGCCCCCTAGCGGCGGCAATGTTGACTAAAGAAACAGCTGGCATTTATTAGAACTTTTGCCCCAAGCTAAGCACGGTGCCTACTGCTGCCCAGTTATTTATTCCCATCTCACAGAATTCTGAGACCCGAGCGAACTTGTCCAAGTAACTCTGGATGGAGAGAACAGGCCAGGCACTGTCCCAGCATTTTACTAGATACTCGGAAATCTGGAGCAGGCCGTTCCCAAGCTCCCCCCCCCATCTTCCTGGAGCTGGCCGTCCTCTCCGTTTCTGCCCTAGTGTCTCCCACCTCTCCATTTTTTTTTTTGTTTGTTTGTTTTTCGAGACAGGGTTTCTCTGTGTAGCTTTGCGCCTTTCCTGGAGCTCACTTGGTAGCCCAGGCTGGCCTCGAACTCACAGAGATCCGCCTGCCTCTGCCTCCCGAGTGCTGGGATTTAAGGCGTGCGCCACCACCGCCCGGCCCCCACCTCTCCATTTTGAACGAAAATGGTGTCCTGACTACCAAGGTCCGGAGCCAAGGGTTTGTCTTCTCAGATGTCCAGGGACCTTGGCAGAGAAAGGGTCTAAGAATCAGAACATGGAAACTGGGTGGTTCCGGCTTCCTGGAAGGGTGAAGGGGGAGGGGGTGATGCCCTACACACCACGGGAGTTCTCGGCCTGCTCTGCCTCCAGCTGCCTCTATGACACCGGGAAGCCCTTTCTTATCAGGACTTCAACCTCCCTGGTGAAATGGGAGGCTTCTAGATTATCTCCCTTCCCATTATCTCCACTCCACACGGCTGCCTTCTGCCCCCACCCAAACCCGCACTGGCATTCCTAACGGAGCCTTGGACTGAGACTGGAAAGCCCCAGGCGGACACCGTGGTCCATCCCCTGAGCTGCCTCTGGAGCTCGGGCCTGAACTAGGTCCTTATGACCTCAGCAGGTGGAAGCCAGCTGAGCAGAGAAAGGCTCCATGTCCCCAACAAAGGCCCCGGGGTGGGGAGGGGGCTGCATTGTGATGACCTCATCCGTTCTGTGACATCAGCCTCTCTCTCACCCCCCACCCCCACTCCTCTCTGGTCAGCTGCTCTGCAAACAACCATCAGTCCGAATCCCAAAGGCCTGAAAAAGTCTGTCCTCCAGTCCCTGCTACTGATCTCTGTCTCAGCCAACCAGGAAGCACCATGAAACTGGAATTCACAGAGAAGAACTACAACAGCTTTGTGCTGCAAAACTTGAACAAACAGAGGAAGCGCAAAGAGTACTGGGACATGGCCCTGACTG